GTGGTGCTGCCTGGGTGCACAGGTGAGCACCCAAAGGTAAGCAGCACCCTAAGGTGCTGCATGGCTGGGCGCAGTTGGTGGAGCACCTGCTCAAGCTGCGGCCGTGCCGTGCCGTGCCGTGCCATGCCACGCCGTGCCGTGCCACGCCGTGCCAGGCCCACCGCCACGGCTGCGGCAGAGCAGCCAGCGTCCCGCCCCGGCAGCGCGCCTTGCACACGCGGCACTTCAAATGTTTTATTTGGGGAAAGTGCTGTCGTTAGCAGGGATTAATTATTAAAATCGGAGGCATCTATAAAACATGAGTGGCCATGCGCTGGGGCTGCGGGCGCACAGGCGGAGCTGGGCACGGTCCCGCTGCCAGCAGCGCCCCGGGGACGTACTGCGACGGCGTTCGCCGGTGCTGCCGCAACGGCACCTCGTGCCGGCGGCGGTTTTGGGCTTCTTGTGGCAAAGCGGGTGCAAAGGCCGGCTGCAGGCAGGGGGTGCTGCCCAAGTGGGCACCCTGCCCCCCCTTTTACCCCCGCCGCAGCCCGCTGGGCAGCCAGGGGTGGGGGGCTGGGTTGGAGATGGGCAAAATTGTGTCAAATCGGCGTTTGAGGGGAGCGGTGGTCTCCGGCGTCAGCCGGCCCGGCGAGGTGGCAGCAGGCAGTACCGAGCTGTTTTTAGCGGCTGCCGGCGCGCTGGGGAGCGGGCGTGAAGAGCGGCTGCCACGGCACCGCGGCACCATTTTTAGAAACCGGCAAGTTTTGCTAATGATGCTTGTGAGGGGTGGCAAGGGGGGGGGGGGGGGGGGGGGGGGCGGTTGGCGAGGTGGGGGGGGATACCCGGACCCTGGCCCTCCCGGTCCCCACTACCCGCTCCCCGGGCAGCCTCTGTGCCCAGCCCTGTCCCTCTGTCCTCCCCACCTGGTTCCTGCACCCGCACCTGGGGGCACCCACACTGCCCAGGGCACCCCTGCACCCATCTGGGGCTCTGCAGGCCCCCAGGGAGCTCTGCTGGCCCCTGGGGAGCTTTGGTGGCCCTTGGGAAGCTTTGGTGGACCCTGGGGATCTCTGCAGGAGCTACGGTGGTCCTTGGAGAGCTTTGGTAGCACTTGGGGAACTCTGCTGGCCGCTGGGGAGTTCTAGTGGCCCCCAGAGAGCTCTGCTGGCCCCCGGGGAGCTTTTCGTTACCCTGAAGACTTCCAGGCTAGGGCACATTTTTTTCTCCTTTTTCTGCCCCTGAGACAGCATCTGCCCTCAGCTGGGGGGTTCGCCCCATCTCAGTGCCCAGTCAGGACCTATGCCAGCCACACTCTGGTCCCAGTCCCATTCCCGGTCCCAGTTTCTCTCTGGGGACCAGTTGTCACCCAGAGAGAGCCCCACTCGACTTGCACATGGAACTCCTCGTCCCGAGCAGCCTCCCTGTGCCCTGGTCCCTACGGCCGCATATACTCCCCCAGGGAGATTCGGGGGGGACCCCCAATGGTCTTCCAGCGGGAAGGGGAACCAAACCTCCATGCCATGGGTGATGTCATCACTGTGATGCAGGCGGTTGCTATGGCGATCAAGCCCCATTCCCCCCCAGGCAGGGCTCCCGGGATCAGAGTCAGCCCTGGATGCGATGGGGGCCAAACCAGTGAGGAGGCACAAGGCTTCGTGCGCCGTCACCACTGACACGGGGACGGGCCACGCGAGGAGCAGGTTGGTGGGGGACAAGCAGCTGCGGTCAGCGGTGCCCAGCCAGGTGGGGGGCAGCCCTGTCCTCACCCAACTGGGACAGACTGGAGGAGCTGTGGCACCGCGTCCTCTGCCAGGAGCCGGGCGTCTGCCCCAAGGAAGTGGCGGTGCTGGCCACGGATGCCCCGCTCTCCCCCATCGCCAACTGGGAGAAGGTGGCTGAGCTGCTCTTGGAGGCTTTTGGGGTGCTGAGCTGCTCTTGGAGGGTTTTGGGGTGCCGGCCATGCTGGTGCTGCCCCTGCCTACTCCCACAGCCGCACCACCAGCGCGGTGCTGGGCTCCAGTGGTGGGGGGTGCGGGAGGGCTACGTGCTGCCCCATGTCACCTTCTGCCTGGACGTGACCGGGGACACCCCCATCCTCTACCTGGGCTGGCTGCTGGGGTACCCACGGGGGCCGCCTCGGTGCTGCCCCCCTGCACTGCTTGAAGGAGACCTGCTGCTGTGTCCTGCTGTTGGGGGGTGTGGGGGGGTCCCAGCCCCTCACCCTGCTGGAACAGGCAGCCCACAGCCTGCGCTGCTGCGGGGACCCCCCAGCCTCCCCCCGCATCACCTGCTGCTGGCAGGGGGCACCACGTTGCTGCACGGAGCCTGGCCGCCGAGCTGGGGGTGCCCCCCGAGGCTGGCCCCCCCCCCCCTCACCAGGGAGGCCAGCTGGCCGGGTGGCTCGCTGGCCACCTCCCTCGATGCCTTCCAGGGCGCACGGGTGCTGCGGGACACCCACGGGGAGTGCGGCCCCACTGCTGTGCACCCCCGCTGCTGCTCACCCCAATAAAGGGCCAGGGGTGACGATCGGCGGCTGCGCCCCCTTTTTTTTCTCTCCCCCTACCGCCCCGCACCAGCCCCCCGAAAGGAGGGATGGGGTTTATTTGGCCCCGTTGCCGGGCCGACGCGCGCAATTATCACTGATTGCCTGGCGGTTGCCATGGCGATGGTGAGCACGCAGGGATGTGGTGCCGCGTGGCGCTTGAGTCACGGACACGCTGCGGGGCCCCCCTCGCCCCCCCACCCGCTGCACCCCGCTGCACCCCAGCGCGCAGCCCCCGGCAGCCAGCTGCCAGGCCAAGCTGGCCCTGCACCCCTCCCAACCTCCTCCCAGCCGGGGTGTCCCCCACACCCTGTCCCCCCACCCGAGGCAGAGGGGTACAGCTGGGTGTCCCCCTGCCCTGTGTGCCCCCCAACCCGAGGCAGAGGGGGAAGGCTGGGTGCCCCCAGCTCTGGCAGTCCCACCTTAGGCAGCCTGGGCTCGCTGACTCCAGGGGTCCTGCGGGAAATGTCACCCCAACCGGCCGTGTCACCCTGCAGTCAGCTCTGGGCTCCCCATGGGGCAGTGGGAAGGGTGGTGGGTGCGGGGGGAAGTGGGTGCATGGAGTGGTGGGTGAGCAGGTCAGCGGGGCTGGGCACAGCAGAGACAAGCACCACTGGGCTCAGCAGAGCCCAGCACCCCAAAACGGGGCACAGGGTGGCCCAAGATCTGCACCAGAGCCGGGGTCAAGAGGCGACCAGGGGGCAGGGACGGGACCCCGGGGGCAGTTCTGCCCCAGGCAGGAGGCTGGGGCCAGGAGGTGATGGGTGCTGGGCCGAGGGGCACTGGAGGAGCACTAGCCCAGCTCTCATGCTGCAAGCCACCCGGCAGCCCCAAGCCGCGCCAGGCGCTGGCCGGGTAATTGTGAGTTACACTCCAGGTTCCCACGAGGTGCAAAGATTAATAACCGTGCTGCGCTGCTGCCAGCCAGTATGATTAAACTCTTGATTAGCAGCTCAAACTACAGTGCCCTGCTAATTCCCCTGCTCTCACGCGCCGTTAATTACCCGCTGCGGGTGGTGGGGGGCCTGGGGCTTGCGTGGCTCGGTGCTGCGCAGGGGACGGGTGCAGGGGGTGCCCTGGGCTGCCTCTGGGTGCTGGCTGGTCTCCCTGTGCGCAGAGGGGAGATGTTGGCTTTGGGGGTGGGATCCGGGTGTCCCCCCTGTCCACGGGCCTGCCCAACCCGGGCTTGGGGGGGCTGTGGGGTCCCAGGAGAGGACGGCCACATCCCCACGGCGGCTCAGGATGGGTGGTTTTGGGGAGATGGGGTTTGGTGGGTGCAGGAGTGGGAGGGGAGGGGAAGAGAGGGGAAGGGAGGGGAAGGAGGGGAGGGGAAAGGAGAAGAGGGGAGGGGAGAGGGTGCAGCTCGGAAGCGGCACCATATGGGCCGCAAATGCCAGAGCACAGCACGCAGCCGTTTGGGAGGTTCTGCACACGCGGCTGCTCTGCGTGAGGAGCGAGGTGCTCCGGGGACTGGGGGAAGGGGCTGGGGACCCCGCTGTGCCACCCTGGGCTGGGCGCCATGCCCGGGCTGCGGGCAAAGTTAAGGGTGTTAGAACGGTTCATTTCTTGCCCCTTTCTTGTCCCTTGGCACAGGCCACGGGGCACAGACAATCCCTGCACGTGGGGGGAGCGAGCAGACCCTTTGGCCCCACAGCTAGGGGAGGAGGAGGAGGGAAGTTGCCCGGTTCCCACGGGATCACTGTGCGGAGGCAGGATCGTGTGGCCGACCACGTCTTCATGGTGCCTCTTGGTGCCCTCGAGGGACAGCCACCTGTGACACTGAGCTCACACTCAGCACCTCCCGCCCCATCCATCCTGCCTCATCCCACCCCATCCCCTCCAGTCCCATCCCATCCCGGGCCGGTGGCTGTGGCACAGCCCAGGGGACCCCGGTTCACCCCGGTGCTCTGTATCTCGCCTCGGTCCCCACCACGGCACTGAAGCTGCTGTGACATGGGTTGCCCCGGCTCTGGGGCTCGGCAGGATGAGGCCCGTGGGGCACAGCTCCCCCGTGGGCAGCCACCCTGTGAGGCGAGGAGCTCACAGGGGGACGCGGGCGGACGAGCTCAGGGGACACTCGCAGGCAGCCCCGGCTCACCCGGCTGGGCAGCAACTGGAACGGAGCAGGCCACGCGGGATCGCGGGTGTTTATGCGCCCCCCCTCAAGCTACTGCCACGTGGGTGACGGTGTGGGGTCCCGTGGGGTCCCCCGGTCCCCGAGGCGTGGCAGCGTCCCAGCCCGGTTTGGGTGACTTTGGCGCAGGGGGCCGCTCCGCTGGGACACGGGCCGCGCCGTCCGGCGGCCCCAGCGCCACGCGTGACCCGTCCCCGCGGGTGCCTCTCCCGCGCCCGTCGGGCGGGGCGCGAAGTTTGGCGGTGACGTCAGGGGCGGGGCGGGGCGGGGCGCCCCGAGGGGGAGGGGCGGGGCCCCGCGGGTCCCGCCCCCCCCCCAACTTGCCGCGCCGGGCGCGCGGGGCCGCGCCGCGACGGACCGACGGCTCGGCTCGGCTCGGCTCGGCCCGGCCCTGCTCCGCACCGGCCCCCGCGGGAGGGAGGGAGGGAGGGGCGTGCGGCCCCCCCCGAGCGGCGGCCCCGGGCCGCAGCCCCCCTTTGCGGTCGGAGAGTCGTGCAGGTGAGCGCCGCGCCGGGATAGCCCCGAGCCGTGCCGTGCCGTGCCGTGCCGTGCCGTGGGCTGGGAGGGTGGGGGGGGGGGGGGCCGGGCCCGGGCCCGGGGTGGGGGCGTTGCTGGGATTTAGCGCTTGTTCGCCCAGGGCTGCCCCCCCTTCCCTATTCTCCCTCCGCCCCCGGTGGCCCGGGACATCCCGGCGGGGCCGTGCCCGGCTGCCCGTGCGCCCCGACGGCTGCCCGCTGCCGCCCCCGCCCCCCGCTGCCACCCCGCGTCCCGCAGACCCCGAGCCCCGACGGGAGCGGCGGAGCACGGCGAGATGCCGGAGCCCGGTTCCCCCCCCCCCCCCCCCCCAACCCGCCCCTCCACGCTCCGGGCCTCTCCTGTCCCGGGGCCACCCCCCGCGGCCAGCACAGAGAGCCGAGCCGGCCCCGTGGCGGGGGGTGCTGCCGGGGACCCGCGCCCCCTCCGCCGAGCATCCCCTCCCGGGCCCCCTGCCCCTCTCTCCCGCAGCCCGCTCCCTTCCCGCTGCCGCATCGCTCTCAACCGGCCACGGCCGAGACTTCCCCTGCGCTGCGCGGCCCGGGCTGCACCTCCGCACCCCCCCAACCCCGGGGTGGGGGTGCACGGGGGGGCTCCGGCACCATCCCGCGGGGCGGTGGGGCTCCCCCAGCCCGGAGGCTCCTGCGGGCAGCGCGGGGCTGGCGCAGCCCCTCCACCTCCCCGCTGCCTGCACTAGCAATATTTCGGTCCGTCTCGGCCGGGCTGCGTTTGTGCCTCTCGCTGATACATCCTTCCCAGGGATGGAGGGGGGGGGCGCGGGATGGGAGCGCGGACACCCCCCCACACATCCCCCCCCCCTCCCCTCGCCCCACGGACACGTCCAGGGTGGCTGCAGGTGGAAGTGGGGCTGGAGACAGCGCACTGGCCGGTGGCACCTCACGCCGTGGGGCAGAGCCGGGGTTCGGGGGGCTGGGGGGGAGCCACTGGTGAGGGCTGCACGGCTGCGTCATCCCTCCGTGTCGTCCGCACCCGGCCACCCACTTCCCTGCTATTGTCTTACACCCGCTGTTGCTTCTGCTCCCAAATTAGATGCTTTGGGGGGGGGGGGGGGGGGGGAGGCTGGCTGTGCGCGGGTGCCAGTGCAGCACCCAGCCTTCCCCCCCCAGCTCCCTGGGGAGCAAGCACTCACCCCTTCTCCTGGGTGCCCCTGCCTTGGCGGGGGTGCTCTCACCTGTGGGGCGCAGGTGCTGGCGCTGATGTGGGGCTGGGTGCCAGCCTCCCTTGTGGGGAACCCCAGGTGTGTGGAGCTCCCCCCTCGAGCAAACCCCGGGGCAGGGGAGGGTGCCGGTGCTCAGCCCTGGCAGGATGGGTTCCTCGCTAAACCAACGGGAACTAATTTTATGAGCGCAGATTAGCTGGGCGCTCTCAGAGACAGCAATAAAATCCCGATATATCATCCCACTCGGGTCCCCTTCCCGGCTAATCCTGGCATCACGCCGCGGGCGCTGGCAGCCTGCCTGCCCGCCCGCAGCACCGAGCCCGGCCCACGGCACCGAGCCCACCGCCACGCCGGCGGCTGCCAGGACAAGCCCTCGTCTCCCTCGGCCGGGCACGGCAGAGGCGCCGTCGCGTGGCACGGGGACGCCGAGGTGCCAGGCAGGACGCGTTTGCCGGGGAGGCTGTTGGGATGAGCTGAGCGTGGGCTGCAGAGCCTCACCCAGTCTGCGGCGCGGGGAAGGGTGTCCCATGGGTGCTCTGCTGCTTTTTCGGGACTGGGCGCACCAGTGCAGCGGGGGAACGGCTGCTCTCTTGCCCGGCCTGGACTTTCCCGGCAGGAGGGTGCCCGGGTGTCACACGAGCTGGGAGCACCCAGCCTGCAGGTGCGGAGGCAGGTCAGCCCCGAGAGGTGGAGGCAGGACGGAGCATCCCCCCATTCCCTGGCTCACCGCACCCATGTCCCACTCAGATTTGGGGTCAGTCACCTCAGGGAGCGCTTAGGGGCATGCCCTGGGTGCTGCGGGCAGCTCCACCTTCCTCCCGGGGCCGGGACTGTGCACCCGCGGGTGGGTCGGGTGCTGCCGGGTGCTGCCCGTCCCTGCCCCCTCCGAAGGATGTGCCGCTTTCTGCATCTCCAGCTCCCATTGCCATAGCAACAGGCTCGGAGCTTGGGTACCCGCGATGCCGGTTCCCGCATCCCGCGCTGCCATCCTGCCCGCGGCCCTCGCTGCCGGGCCCCGGGCGCTGCTGGCACGGCACGGTGAGGCCGGCACATTGCAGCGCGGTGTTTCGGGAGCCTTAGCACAGGGCGATGTGTGTCTCCAGTGTCGTGCCAGCATCCCATCCTGGCGTCCCACTCGGGCCCGTCCTCTGAGAGGAGCCCAGTGAGCCCTGTCTCCTGAGACATCAGAAAATAATGTCAGTTGAAACTTCCAGTAATAGGGTGGGAAGGGGAAAAAAAAAAAACACTTTATGGAACCAATTTTTTGCTGGGAAGCTTCTAAGCAGGGTCTGGTTTTGAAGGGTTCCTGGCAGGAAAGCAAGGGGCAAAATGTCGTTCCTATAGGGCCGGAGGAGCTGGTGTGTGCCGGGGCCGGTGTCCTGCCCGCTGCCGGCAGCAGGAGGGCCGGCACCACCAAACCGCGGTGCCCGCTTGCCCAGTGCTGCGCTGGGGCTGTCAGGGCTGGTAGGGGACAGGGAGCTGAGGCTGGTGCAGCTCGCTGCACATGTGAGTGTGTGACAGTGCTCTGCCGGGGGAAGCCCCAGCTACAGAAATGTCACCACGAGGGTAAAACCGGGCTGAGAAAGCAGGAAAGGGTCCGCTTGCCTCCCCAGCGGGTGCTCCGGGCTCTGTGCTAGCCCTGGCTACTTAATAAATGGTTGATGTTCTGCAAACGAGGGCCAGAGGGGCTGGCTTGCAGCCGTGCCAGCAGCCCAGGCCCCAGCAGAGTGGCCAGACGCCACGGGGATGGACGCCCATCGGTGAGGCTGGGCACGTGGCGGCTTGCGGCAGCCGGGGAGCACGAGCAGCCACTGCGCTTCGTCAGGTTTGACGTTAATTAGCACGGCTCGGGGGGGGGCCTGGCGTGGCTTCAGGGGGCCGGCGGTGCTGGGGCGCTCACCGCCTCTCCCTGCCCTGCCAGCACCGGGCCCTGCGATGCCGTTTGGCTGCGTGACGTTGGGAGACAAGAAAGATTATAACCAGCCGTCCGAGGTGACTGACAGATATGACCTGGGTCAGGTCATCAAAACGTGAGTTGGTGCCTCCCCGGCCCTGGGGAGCGGGGGGGGGGGGGGGCTTGGGGACCCCAATCACCTGCGTGCCCCGGGCGGAGGAGTGCCACAACACTTCTCATGGGGGCTTTCGGGGTGCCAGTCACCGGCTGGGACAGGCAGGGCGCATTTCGGGGTGGTTGTCCCCTAAGCTGTCCCTATGTCTGGTGGGTGCGGGAGGGTGTTCACCGCTGGCTCTGAGGAGGGCAGTGAGGTTTCCCCGCTGCTGCCGGCTGCATCCCTGTATCCCTCCTTCCTCCCCCCAAGATCTGTGGGGATTGCAGTAATTCCGCATGATCCCAGCTCCCCCGAGCACTCCGGGCAGCAGGGGGGCTCTGCTCCGGCAAAGGAAAGGGCAGATGTCATTTGGGGGGGAGTGGAGTGCTGCTGCTGCTTCTCCACAACTTTTATTGCTGTGCTGGGGGACCTGTTCGGAAGCACCCCACAAAATGAAGCCCTCAGACCCGCTGAGAGGAGTTTGACTCCTAAATATGCACCAGAAATTTTTCCATTGGCCTCCAAAACACCGGGACTGCCTGGCTGTGGGTGACACTGGGTGGCGGGGTGACACTGGGTGGCGGTGGGGGCTTTTTTGGATGCTCTCAGAGCTTTGCTCCATCCTCTGAGCAGCCTGTCCCAAAGCCCAAGGGTCCCCATTCCCCTGCACCCAGGACAGTGGCCAAGAGGATTTTGGCACAGCCGGAGGGGTTGCAAAGCCAAAGGCTTTGCTGGAGCAGTGCTGGGTGCCCCCCGTGAGCTCCCCCGCGGCTCCAGCCCAGCCGATGGGCTCGAGCACTATCAATAATAGAACAGAAACATTGCAGCATCCCCTTCTTTCTTCCCGGCTGCAGCACTCTCATTTATGTCGAGGTATGCTGCTGTTCTGCCTCAGCACGAGTGGCTTCACAGCAGATCCTACTCCAGCTGCCATGGGGAGGGGGATTTTTAATCAGCAAATTTTCCCCCTTCCCTATCAATTTGCTTATTCCATATCAGTTCCTTCTTGCTGCCCATTTATTTTTCCCCGCTCTGCTCCAGAGAGGTTTGTAGCCGCAGCTTCCTTCCACCCTTACGGCATCTCTCCCAGTTGCTGGGATGGGGGGATGCTGGTGGTGCCCAGGGAGAGGGGGCGGGGGGGTGTCAGCTGTGGGTGCCCTTGCAGGGAGGAGTTCTGTGAAATCTTCCGGGCCAAGGAGAAGACGACGGGGAAGCTGTACACCTGCAAGAAGTTTCTGAAGCGGGACGGGCGGAAAGTGCGGAAGGCAGCCAAAAACGAAATCATCATCCTCAAAATGTGAGTGTCGGGGCCAAGAGGGGCTCCCGTGCCACTGGGCAAAGCGGGGACCCCCACCCATGGTCCTGTCTGCCTGTAGGGTGAAGCACCCCAACATCCTGCAGCTGGTGGATGTCTACATCACCCGCAAGGAGTATTTCATCTTCCTGGAGCTGTAAGTTTGGGGGGGTTAGGGGGGGCTGGCTGGGGGTGCCCCTGCCAGGGGGGGTCTCAGCAGAGCTGCTGTTGGCAGGGCCACCGGCCGGGAGGTTTTCGACTGGATCCTGGACCAGGGCTACTATTCAGAGAGGGACACCAGCAACGTCATCCGGCAGGTGCTGGAGGCTGTCGCCTACCTGCACTCACTCAAGATTGTCCACAGGAACCTCAAGGTGGGTGGCAGGGGGGGTGGGAGCACCCGTGGGTGCTGACATGCCCCCCTGCCCTGGCACTCACGGCCCCTGTGCTGGCAGCTGGAGAACCTGGTGTACTATAACCGCCTGAAGAACTCCAAGATTGTCATCAGTGACTTCCACCTGGCCAAGCTGGAGAATGGGCTTATCAAAGAGCCCTGCGGCACCCCTGAGTACCTGGGTGGGTGAGAGCCAGCCGGGCGGGCATGCAGGGGTGTGTGGGTGGTGCTGCTGAGGTCCCAGAAGGTCCCTGATGCTCCCCGCTGCCCCAGGGACTGGTCCTGGGGGTCCCATCACCTCCTTCCCGATGGTCACAGGTGTTCCTGGCAGGTCCCTCCCACTCCCCATCACCCCAGTGGCTGATTCTGGGTGGTCCCAGTGGGTCCCTCCCGCTCCCCATCACCCCAGGGCTGATCCTGGGTGCTCCCAGTGGGTCCCTCCCACTCCCGATCACTCCAGGGCTGATCCTGGGTGCTCCCAGTGGGTCCCTCCCTCTCCCCATCACCCCAGTGGCTGATCCTGGGTGCTCCCAGTGGGTCCCTCCCACTTCCCATCACCCCAGTGGCTGATTCTGGGTGCTCCCAGCGGGTTCTTCCCACTCGCCATCACCCCAGGGCTGATCCTGGGTGCTCCCAGTGGGTTCCTCCTGCTCCCCATCACACTGGGGGCAAGGGGCCGGGGGGTTGGGGACCCCGGGGCAGGGCCGCTCTCCTGTCCCTCGCAGCTCCGGAGGTGGTAGGGCGGCAGCGGTACGGGCGGCCGGTGGACTGCTGGGCCATCGGCGTCATCATGTATATCCTGTGAGTGCGGGGCGAGGGCCGGGGCAGCCACGGGGGGCCGGGGGGCTGGGGCAGCCGGGCTGAGCCCCCTGCCCCATCCCCCAGCCTCTCGGGGAACCCCCCCTTCTATGAGGAGGCGGACGAGGATGACTATGAGAACCACGACAAGAACCTCTTCCGCAAAATCCTGGCTGGGGACTATGAGTTCGACCCGCCATACTGGGATGACATCTCACAGGCGGGTGAGCCCCATGCCGGGGGTGGGGGACACACACATGGGGTCCCGTGTTTTCCCCCCCAGCGCTGAGTTTCCCCCACCTTGTGTCCACAGCCAAGGAGCTGGTGACGCGCCTGATGGAGGTGGAGCAGGACCAGCGGATCACGGCGGAGGAGGCCATCTCCCACGAGTGGTGAGGGATGGTGGGAGCGGGTGGGGGGGTCTGGGGGGCCTGGCAGGGGCCACTCACCCTTCCCCGCCTCCCCAGGATCTCTGGCAATGCCGCTTCTGACAAGAACATCAAGGACGGTGTCTGCGCCCAGATCGAGAAGAACTTCGCCCGGGCTAAGTGGAAGGTGGGTGGGAGTGCCGCGTGCCTCAGTTTCCCCTCTCAGCCAAGCCCATTCCTTCATCACAGGGCTGTCAGCTTCGGGGCGGGGGACTGCCAGCCCCCAAGCAGTCACCCCCCGGTGGGGGACCCGATGCCCTGGTGAGGGGCCGCGGGGGCAGAGGAGACCCCACGCCCCACGGTCCCCCCGCTTCTTCCCCCCTCACCCCCCCCCCCCCGCAGAAAGCCGTGCGAGTGACCACGCTCATGAAACGCCTGCGGGCGCCTGAGCAGACGGAGACGGCCCCGGCTCCGGCTCCGGCCCCGGCCCCGGCCCCCGCCGCTTCCACGGCCGCCGCTTCCACGGCCACAGCCGCCACGGACACTGCAGCCCCCGCGGCTCCCAGCACGCCGCCCGCCGCCGCGCAGCCCCCGGCCCCCGCCTCGCCGCCCGCCGCCACGTGTAACGGGGACGGGGCTGCCGCCACCGCCGAGGCCCCCAGCGAGCAAACCGGCTGAGCGGCGGCGGCCCCCGCGCCCCCCGCTCTGTACATAGCCCCGGCATGGTGTCTGTCGTGTCCCCCCCCCCCCCCCCGCCCCTGCCTGCGCCCCCTTTTCTACGTGCCCCGACGGAGAGCCGGCCGCGGGGCAGAGCCCTGCATGGAGCCCGTCCTACCCGATGGCCCCCCCCCCGCCCCCCCCCCCCCCCGGCCCCCTCGGTGGCTTTGCCGGTCGATCTGTCCCCCCTCCCTGCTCTCTCAGTCTGTCCCCCGCCACCGTCCCCGCCCTGGGGATGCCCAGAGATACGGGGCAGCCCCCCCCCCCCCCCCCCCCCGGCCTCACGCCCTGTAGGGCTTTGTTGTGGGGGGGGATGGAGTGGAGTGGGGGGGGGGGGGGGCGGGGGCCGGGGTCCCCGGGGACGCGCGTGCATGTGCGGGACTGCGGGTGGGTGCGTGGGACGGAGGGGGGGCCCCAGCGGGCAGAGTTCCTGGCACACCCCTCTGCGTCCCGGGGCTCCGGGGGGGTGGTGGGGGGGGGTGTCACGGGCCTCCCTCCCCGGCCCGGGGACAGCCGCACGGCCCCCCCACGCGTCGTGTCTGGAGGATCCCAAATGGCGGCCCCACCCCCCGCGGGTCCCCGCTTTCCTCCCCCGCAGCTGCATGCCTGCAGGGCCGGCTCTGCCTGCGGTTGCCGCCGGCGCCCCGCTCTGTATCTCTGGCAAATAAAGACCCCGCTGAGGACAAACTGAGACAGCACCAGCGCCGCCTGCCCTGTCTCTCTGTGGGGCCGGGTCCTGTCCACGCGTGCCGGCAGCGCACGGGCGAGGGTGGGTGGGAGGCGCTCCCGCCGGGGCTGAGCGAGGCCGGGAGCGACGCTGCTGCCCAGGCCGGGCGGGCAGCGGGGCGCTGTGGGAGCTCGTCCCGGCCAACCCCCGCCCGGGAAGGAGCTGCGCGGCCCAGCTGCCACCGTTAGGCTCCAGAGTACACGGGCGGGTACAGCCGGGGGCACGGGCCCGCCCCCTCTCGTAGGTCACGCCCACCGCCACCTCAGGCTCCGCCCCCCCCCGGTTGGGTGAGGTCACTTCCGGGCCGCGGCGGGAGCGCGGCCGGGTTTGAATCGGCGGGCCCCGCGCCGGTTACCGGGAGCGGGGGGGGCCCGGCCATGCCGATCCGCGCCCGCTGCATCATCTGCTCCGACTTATTCGACAACCAGCGGGACGTGGCGGCCGTGCCCTGCGGGCACACCTTCCACCGCGCCTGGTGAGCGCCGCGCCGCCCGCAGCCCCGGCCTTCCCCCGGCGGCTCCCCCCGCGCCGCTCCCCCAACACCCCCCGGGGGGGCTTTGGGTCGCTGCGCTTCCGGTTCCCGCCGTGACACACCCTCCCCCCAGCTCGGGCCGCGTTGCGGAGGCCGCGGCGATGCCGTTTGGGGGGATTTTGAGGAGCTCCCGGAGCTGCCGCGGCAGCCTCGGCCGGGCTGTCGTTCCCCTGCCTGCGGCCCTCCCCTCTCCGGGAGGGCCGGTGCCAGCGGGTTGCTCCTACACAGGGTGTTTATCTGGAAGGAGCGGTGTTAGATTATGAGCGAAGCCTCCCAGGCAATTTCATGCTTTTGCCGGAGCTGTTTTGCAAGTGTTTGTGCTGGAAGGAAACGGCTCTTCGGGAGAAATAAATTCTGGGTGTCTGGGGAGGGAGCGGGCATTTTCTTTTTTGGCTGACTAGCTTGGAGAGGGACCACATCATAGGTGCGATGGCCACTGCTTAACCAGTGGCACAGCTCGGGCTCGCGCTAGTGACCAGCGGAGGAGGGAGAGCTTCCAAAGGTAACCTGCCAGCTCCAGTTCGTTACCGTGCTCCAAAAATAAACTCTTGCGAGCGTGACGTGATGGCTCGGTTGCAAAATGCATTAGTAGCTCTCCCGGGGAGCCCGGCAGGTTTGTATTCATCGTCTCGGAGCAGAGAGTGGCCCCGGCTCCCTGTTGGGCGTCTGTGGCACCCTTTGGAGCTGCCCAAACTGGGGATCTCTCGGCTGTCGTATCCCGATATCGCAGCTCTTCTGTCACGCTGTGTCTGGATCCGTTTGCTCCTGCGAAGCTGCGGCTGTTCAACAGCTCTCTCCCAGAGAGATCTGAGCTCTGTAAAAAAAAAAAATCTGCCCTGGTAAAGATAAGCTTGCACGCTGAATTCAGCTGGGAATTGTCTCCGAGGCGAAGGCAGAGTGCGTGTGCTGGAACATGGCGTTCCTGTTAGCCACTTAGTTGCCAGCTAGGGTTAAACCACAACAGCCTCTGGACTAAACACTTGTCTTTATGTTTACTTGTCTTTATGTTTATAGTTTGTAAAAAGGAGTCGCATCCTGCTGTGTCCTGGTGAGTTGGGGGGTGGCCCCTGGCAGCAGCACTCCTGAATTTTAAGGATTTACCAGATGTTTTCTTTTCCTTTCTCAGTCTCACCCAGTGGTTTGACACAGCACCAAGCCGGACTTGCCCACAGTGCAGAGTCCAGGTAAAACCATCTTCTCTGTACCCCTCCGTATTTCTATGGCGTGATGCTCTGCAACCAGCCTCGAGGAGCCGTAGCCTGGGCCTGGGGTGAGATGAGGAAAGGGCTCATGGTAGGAAGCAGAGAGAGTTTTCTGTCACTTGAGGCTCTCGCCAAAGTCTTAGAGGGTGAACTCCCCTCAGCAACCCTTCTGATCAAAGGGCTGGACTGAGGGTGGTCTGCTGCTGTCCCTACTGTAGCTTCTCTATAAAGTGTTTTTCATGGTTAAGGCTGAGGAAGTATTTGCATAATGCTAGAAAGGGCTGGAAGGGATTAATCGGGACATCTGACTTGGGTTTCTAGAGTACCCTGCTGCTTGCCACAGGTAAGCAGCCCATTCTGCTGCAGGTGGTCCTTAAAGAGTCCTTGTTTTGCATCACTCGGCCCTTTGTTGAGAAAAGCAAAGGCTGGGGAGGGAGGGAAGGAAGGATGTGCTCAGCTTCTGAGGGGGGAAGCCAAGGCTTGGGGATCCAGTGGCTTCGTCGGGACCTGAACTTCTTTGAAGTCCCTTGTGGCACCAGGCTTGATGCCGCCGGTAGCTCTTGGCATGTGGTGGCTGCAGGGACATTGCCTCACTCTCAGATGTAGGTTTTTAGCCAGCTGCAGCTTGGCCTTGTTCTGTGTTCGTGTTTCTTCTTCTCAAGGTCTTGGCCCTTGTTCCTTCCCTGACTTGTTGATTCCCTCTGTTCTTCACTGCCTCTTACATCTCTGGGTTACCATGGAGTTATCGCGAAATAACATCTTATGTAGCAGTAACTATGCAATTAGCTGGTGTCATGACTGTATATAATACTTAAAACACAAAGCTGTAACTGCATGGGGGAGGTGTGGAGAGCTATCAAATTCAATTACAGCACCTTCTGCCTGCAGAAAGCAGCACGTACTTCTGTCTTAGGATTTGGCATCGTGTTCGCTCAGCGTCAGCTGCTTGGGCCTTAGCTGCCAGAGAACAGACTGCGCTTGATTCAGAAATGCCTGAATCTTTCTGCTGCGGCTCAGGAGCTTGGCTGGAGTGGCGCTCCTAAAACTGAGTGGGGGGTCTGCTGCTGTGCTGATGAGCCAAAGCAGAGCATCGTTGCTAATGGCGTCGAGCACGTGATCTGATTTGCCTTGTGACAAGATGATACCTTCTCTCCTTTCTCCTGTCTTCCATATCCGTTGTGTTTCCACATCTGTGCTCATCAACCTCTTCTGTCTCCTGCGTTTAGGTCAGCAAAAGACACATCATCAATAAGCTGTTTTTTGATGTTGCCTTGGAGGAGCAGACAGCATTGGATGCAGAGACCTTGCAGGTAATTTGGCTGGGTGGTTCTTCTGTTATGTAGATGCTTCAGCACCTTGGAAGTGCGGCCTGGGCTGTCAGTCCTCTGCCAACAGCTGCTTTGGAGCTGTTGCTCGCTGCACTGTGCTCGTGTTTCAGACCTGAAGTGTCTCCCCTCCTACCTGGCTCTGTTCTCCCCTTGGGCCTTGCCCAGTCTCAGCTCTGTTGTAAGGAAGTCTCCACGTGGTGGGTTAGAGTTCCCCCTGAACAAATCTCGTGTGGCAACTCAAGAAGCCTCTTCTACTTTGCTGCTCTTCCTTCTGGTTCTCAACCTTACCTGGAAACCTTCTGAGGCAGCATCAAATAAACATCCAACTGCTGCTTCTCCTCTGGGTCTCGAAGCCTGGGGGCTGAAGCTACAGAGCTTTTCCAAAAGGCAGGAGAAGGAAAAATCCCAAATGCAATGAATTGCTGCAGGTATCTGTGGCTTGGTTGCGTGCAAGCCCTGCTAGCCCCTCTGGAAAGAAGGGGCTGTTGGAGGAAGTGTCACCTCCTCACTTCTGTGCAGGTAGGTTGGTTTGGACAGACTGAAAGGAAGTGGGGGACAGGGTGGCGATAAAGTTGTGGTGTCCCAGGAGAACTTAGGAAAGGAACTGCCTGAAGTTGCACCAGCAGCGGTGGCCAGTGCTGAGGCTGGGTCTCTGGCCAGGGGGAACCTGGCTAGAGCTGGGGTGCTGGGTGATGTTCTCTTAGTGCCACCCTGAGGTGCAGGGAGCTGGGGGTGAGCAGGGATGAATGCAGAGTGGCTGTTCCGTGTTCTCCTCCTTTGTTTAGTGTGGATGAAGCATGGCGCCTTATGTCTTGGAGTTATCTGTTCCAAAAAAAAGTAATCGTTTGACCTTGGTATAATGGGATGCTTGTACCCTCTTGTGTTTAGAATCAGCATGTGCAGCAATTACCATAATTAGCAGTTGCCATGACAACGCTATATGTATATCGTATGTTTTTAAAATAAAGCCAGCCAGACTATAATGTCAGTAGCACTGTCATTTTCGAAGACTGCTAATAAAGAAACTGGAGGCTAAAGTATGTGTGCCGAGGAAATGAAAAAGCATCTCTGGGCACTTGAAGCTGTGTGCCCTAGAAGCAAAGCAACGGCTCGGAGCAGATAAACACTGCCTTTAGTACATATTCAGATCTGCTCTCGCAAGTGTAAATAGATGAGTGACTCAGAAATGGGTTGACTGGAGAAAACTGCCCTAGAAAAATCTTTCTGTTCCCCCTCCCCTTCACCCCAGGATCCAAGATGGGTCCTGGTCCCCCCAGCCTTCCCCTCCAGGCAGGCTGCCCTGAGCAACTGCTCCCGTGCTCAGGGGCAGGGCTGTGGAGCCACTCCTGCTCAACAAGCTTGATGGTAACTCATCATGCTCCTACGAAGTTTGTTGTGTGGCTGCCAGAGCAGCATCTAGCCCTGAGTGTGCAGCTTTCCTAATGAGAGTCCTGAGGTCACCATCTAACGGGAAAGAACCAAATATTTTCTGTGTAGATTAGCATAGTTAGTTTGTATGGGTATTTATTGCCACATGCACCGATTGAGGTTGCTGCTGGGCTGATGCTGGTTTGTCACCAGTTCTCTGCTGTGTGCTGCCTTGTTACTGGAGGACATGGAGCACCTGAAGAACATGGGTGACCATCACGGGTGGGATTTAATGTCCATCTAGACTGGGTTTCAGTCTGTGACGGGGTATCTGATTCTGGCCTGGGCAGCAGTTCAGCAAAACAAGCACATGATGGGCCATCCCCAGAGTCTTCAAAGGCTGAGAAAAGAATTGGTGACATCCTTAGCCAGAAGTGATTTCACCTGAAAAAGCCCCCAAATCCAGGGTTTGTTGCCAGCCACTGCCTGTCCCTCCAAGAGCCTGGGCGTAGAGTGGTACTCTGCTCTAATTAACAGGAGCTGTATCCGTGCAGCCTGAAGATGTCCTGAAATGGGCATTTGGCCTCCTGCTGTGAAAAGGTTGGTCTGAGGCATGAGAGCATGCTTCAGCGTGCTAGAAAGCAGAGTGCATAGCTGTGGTCTGCTTGCGGTCTTGAGGAGGCGAGCTAGGGATGCTCTTCTGAGAAACAGCCTTATGCACCCAGTTGTAAGTGGTCAGAAGAGCTCCCTCATAATCTGAAACCTCTTCCTGTTGTTGCAGAGTTCTCCAAATTATCTTTTGGGCGATAATTGTCTTTGGGGCTGTTCCTCACTCTTCTGCTCTGGAATGTTGACAGTCAAAGGAGAGCTGGGGCTGCTTTGCCTCCCACCACCGGGCATCAGCTTCAACTGAAACACCAGAGGGAACCTGATTCCCTGGAGTAGCTGCGGACCTCAGGCTGAACACTGTGACACGTCCAGGCGTTTATGGGTGCTGAGCCTGGGTTTATCATGTATTGCTCTTAAAGGTGGTCCTCAGTGGTCAGAACAGTCTTCATGTGGCTGTTCCCAGAGCAGGAAAATTGTGAGGTTTGGGGTGTAATACCTCGGTGAGGTTGTCTGGAACCTGACACTTCCAATTGCTTGTGATCTGGGGAGCGGAGAGCCCTTCTTCCAAAGGAGACTAGGAGACTTTGACTTGTTCAGCTTGGTGAAAAGGAGGCAGGAGGAGGATGATTCCTTCCTGGAAGCCCGCTGGGGGGAGGGTAGAAAGCTGGGAGGACATCTGTCTGTGGTCAGTATATACTCATTTGATCTTGGGGAAAATGTAACTCGGGCTGTCAGAGAGAGGATAGCTTCTATCAGAGGAGTGAAAACAGGAGCTGTGGTGGAGGATGAGGGATTTCAGATTAAGTTGATGAATGAGGTAATGTTACATAGCTGCCCGCAGTAGCTCAGGATTTCTTTGCTATCATGCTAATTAGCACATCTTGTGAGCTCACTAATCGTTCCTGAATAGGCCTCTGAGGAACCTACTCCAGAATAGTTCCTGTAGCAGACTTAATTCAGTGTCAGCCCTCCAGCTGTTGTCCCCTCGGGGGCAAATCCAAGTGAAGCTCTGCTAGGCTTTGCCTTTAGTCCCTTCTGCTTACTGAGCTTTACATCCCATATTCTCTTTCCTGCTTTTATTGTCACTAGCAGAGCTTTGCTCTGGTCCCGTCAGATCTGTGGTCACTGGTAGTGCTATTCTCAGCTCAGATTTGCATGTAGCGTTCTGGGTTGCACAGATTTGTGTGCTCTGCTTCAGTACAGTGTTGGCATTTTATTGTGGTTTTATTCCACTGCAGTTCCTGCCTGACTTGTTACGTGCTTTCCTCTGCAGTTCTCTAACACAGCTTTTTAAGTCACCTTCTGTTGATTCTTTCCTGTATATATTTCTCTCTTGCTCTGTTTTTTAAAATATATCTATCTATATATTATATATAGATAGTTTCTCTTTTTAACCTCTCCACGTTTCCTTTGGCTATTTGCCAGTGTTTATAAGTCCTATCACTTCATTATCTATAATTTAAACTATGGGGCATTTGCTCCCTCTTTCTGATCCTTAATGAAGGCATTAGAAATATATGATCTTCCCCAGACCCTGGTAGCCCCCTGGAGATGTTACACACCCCCAGTTTAGTGTGGATTGGTTTACTGGTGATCTGTTTACAGCCATTTGACTGAGCTGTTAGCTCACATCAGCATCCTGAACTGCAGTGATTTTAGTGTCCATTAGAATGCTAGCTGGTGCCTTTTGATTGTATGCTTGGTTATCTTTTCAGATGTTTGGACGTGCCTTCCTGTCTCCCACCTGCACCTGATTAAAGTTCACTTTAGCTCAAAGCAACTCTCAATCCAGTTAGTCTGGCAGCATCCCTGCCTTATTGCCTTGTTTAGGTAAAACATTATAAAAATTGTTCCTGTCTGATTTCCTGTGTTTCCCTGAGAGCCTTCCAAAATTATTCAGCTAAAACAAGATGACTGACAGTGTGAGAAACACAAGGTTGACAAGGCTAAGACGAAACTGGGATCTTCTCTTCCTGAAGAATGCCAGTTGGAGGTGCTCTTTGCGTTCCCTGTGACAGTACTTGCTTGTAACTTGGTGCTTCCTGTTACCGCGTTCCCTTCTTTGCACCTGGCTGGTGCAAATGTCCTGCTGAGAAACCTCTTGGGTCCTTTCAAGATCTGGTGAAAGCTCCTCTGCAGGGCGTTTCCTAATCGGGTTTTCTGTGTTGTGTTTCAGAATGAACTGGACCAGGTGAAAGCTCAGCTCTCTGTGAAAGGTGAGTTCCAGTTGCCTGGGGGTGATCGGTAGCCCACGGTCAGTGGGTCCTGGGCTCCGACTGTGTTAGGTGGCTTGCAGAGGCCTAAGGAACCGCTCTGCAGAGCCCACCCCTCTCTGAAGCCAAGGGCGTGGTGCTGTTTTGTTGGAGCAGCTTCTTCAGAGATTTTTCTGAGGCAAGACCACCTAAACCTGTACAAAGCTCGTATGACAGAGCCAGAGTCTGTAGCCTGGCCTGGCTGTGCTGTAACTGGGGAGCTCTCTTCCAGTTAGAGACATATATGCAATTTTTTTGCCCCTCTTCCTAATTATAAGCTACAAAAGTACAGCACAGCTATATCTGGAGCAGGCTTGCTGAAAGCAAACCCCTTGGTTTGCTCACTGGGAAACTCACAGCTGCATATGGCAAAGGCTTGTTCCTTCTAACAGATGAGGGGGTAAAAGTGGTGCCCAAGCAGCAGTGGGAAGGCTTTGGATTTGTTTGGCTGTTGCAGTGCCACATGTGTCGCGCGAAGAGCAGACGGAGTTCAGTGTGCGTGCTTCCATTTTCCCATCTTTAATTTTAGAGGATGTTTGAGGGAGGTAGGAAAAGCAAAAGCCCTGGAGACTTGTCGATGGGTTTTAAGCATCTTCTGTAGGCAGGCTGTCATCAGAACATGAGTCATGAGCAGCGAAAGGAAAATGTCAGTCTGAGTGACAGAAATCCAAAGGCACACTAGCAGAAGGGGAAAAAAAAAAAAAAGAAATCTTTAAAGAATGCTGGGGGCTCACCCACGCCCCGAGAGTCGTCTTTCCTCTGCCTTCCCTGTGTGCACGAGACAGACATGAATAGCCAGTAGATTGAGGATTCAGTCCTTACCCTAAGAGCAGAATTGGACAGTCTGCACGTCGTCTATTCTGAGGCCTGTTCTCTTGCCAGCTTGGTTGAGTTTAGGGACTTGGTAGAGAGCCAGATCTTCTGGGGAAGGTGGCTGGGATTCTTGCTAGGATGTTATCCAAGAAAAACTGCTCGAAGGCCTGCTATCTTCTCAGCTTCTGGTGAGTAGAGGTTGGATTTGACATTCCCTGTCCCATTCTCTTTTCATATTGGAAATGAACAGCTCCTTCCCACCTCCTGCCTCCTTTGCTGTGGGCACTCTGCTCTCTGGTGGTTCTTATGTATAAATTCTTCACTTATAGATGTGCTCTGTGCTGTGCGCTGTAGAAGAGCTGTGTAATTGCCAGTCTCTGATCAGCTTGCAAATGGCTCTAGAGGTGCTGAGCTCCGAGCAGACCCAGCAGGCACTGTGGGAGGCACTCTGAATGAGCTGAAAACTCATTCCTGCAGCACGGGGAGGTTTGACTCCTGCCATCTGCCTCTGGGCAGCTAGGAACGGAAGAGGGGGAAGCCCTAACTCTTTGGGTGGATGTGGAGTCCCTGCAAATGCAGGGGAGCATCTCCAGGCTGTGCTGCCTCGGTGAGAGAGTTATTCAGATCAATGGAGAAATAATGCCTTGCTAAGAAAGGAATGTGTTTCACTAGCCACCTGTGTGCTGCGTGCTGGGATATGTTCCTCTCTTATTCCCCAGTCCTATGTGGCTCTTTTACGGTCTGATCAAGCAGTGAAGCTGCACTGCAGGTCATGGTTCCATGGGATGCGGTGGCACAACCTGAAACTGGATTGCTTGCAAGGAGGAAAAAACTTTTTGGAAAGGCACTGATCGTCTCTCCGCTATTGTCAGGCTGGAGCCACGGATGATTTTAGCAAAGACGGAAGATGCTGAGCTGCAGACTTTACCCTGCTCTCAGCAGGGTCAGGCAGAGGGGTTGCTGCTTTCCCTCACTGCCCAGCTGCTTTGAGCTTTCCAGTGGTGCTGGCTGTTCCCTGCTTAGGTCAGTCTGATGGTGGTTATTGCTTTGTGAGCTGTTCTTCCCTTTTCTCAGTGAAACAAATTGAAATCTGGTGTTGTTTTCCACCACCTTCTCTCTGGTGGTCAGAGGCGTGTGTTTTGTTCCTGGATTGCCTGTGTGGGGAGGGACAACAGAACTCCAAGGTTTTTGTAACCTGCAGAAAGCAGGCGCTCTGGGGAATCCACTTAAGCTGTCGTGTGTCCTACAAAGTCCCCAGTGCCCAGCAGAGCTCTGCTTCACTGCCTCTTGCCCTTCGACGTAGTTGCAGCAGCATGGTGACGCAGCAGCGTGGTGGATCGCTCTACGCAGCCGCTCCACGGCCCCCGAAGGGCTTCCCTGCACGTAAGGCTCCATGTGGAGAGGACGGGCTCGGGGCTCAGCTCTCCAGCTCTGTGACAGCTCTGTGTAACTAGAACAGTTTTCCCTGTGCAAGCCTGGCTGTGAGAGGATGCAAGAGTTAAGATGCAGCAGCTTAATGCTAGCAGGGCTGGCACTGAAAAGCTATTAAAGGGAACTTGTTATCATTAATAAAGAAAATCTTGAAGTCTGCTGGCACTGGGAGAAGCAATTGCTCAGTACAGACCCTGGTGCAGGCAGCACTTAGGGGAATGGCTCTCTACAGGAATGGCCAACTCCTAGCAGCCTGGGGCCTGAGACTGCAAGCAGTGCCTGTTTGTTGTGCTCCTGCTGCTGTGGGACAGCTGAAGTCCGGGTTACTCAGCCATGACCTTTTTCTTTTTTCTTTTCCAGAGAAAGAAAGGAAGGAATGCCAGGCCCTGATGGATGGGTTGAGGGACACTCTGGATGTGCGCAATGCCACAATAGAGTCGCTCCAGAAGGTGCTGGGAGAGACAGAGATGCTGTGCTCCTCTCTCAAGGTACCTTTCCTGTCCCCAGCAGGACTTCAAGCACTACGCCCAGATGGTGGTAGTTTTGTTGACTATCTCTGCAGGCCCTGCTAATAAAGAGATTGTGCTGGTAGGATTTTGGATCTGGTGCCTTGAGACACCTGCTGTCTTGATCCCTGAATGACAGGAGGGCAGTGGAGCTGGGTTTTCATTTTGGTTTTATTAATCCAAAGCGAGTGGTGTCACTGGTCTTGATGTCCTGAGTGCGTTCCACCTGGGGGTGATTCAGAGGCATAAAAGCCAGGCCGGTGGTTTGCATACGAGCGTCTGTGAGCTCAAGGCAGAGGTGGCCAGAGCGGGGGAGAGACGCCAGCCCGGCCTGGGGAATGCTGGCTGAGCCTTGCTAATGAAATGGCAGTGCTGATGATAAAGGTAGCAGCGTGAATCGAGAGTGGGAACTGGCCCCAGCGCCCCATTGCTGAAACACTGGCTCCCTGCGGTAGAATGTTCTTCTGAAATGGATTTAGGCCAGGCGGGATTCAAGGAAAATTAGTTTCTTAGTTTGATTGGAGGAGAAATCAAACTGAAATATATAGAGGGGGAGTTGCAAGCTTCAGCTGAGTGGGATTTGATCCAGCTAACTCTCCTGTCTATTCTATTGCCAGGGCTTTCCTTTGGTTAGGTTAGTAATGTGTGAAGTCCAGGGATCAAATATTCCTGTTGTGTTTCAGCGTGCAGTGACTCAGGGTGTAGTCATGTACTGTGCGTAAACAGCAAGTGGAAGAGGGTAAGAGCAGGAGCTGCTTTGTTGGGATGTCTTGTAGTGAGCAGAGCTGCTTTGCCGTGGCAGTGGACTGGGTTGGGCAGTCTCCACTGTGAAGGTGAGGTGCCAGTTACAAGAGGATGGGGTTCAGGCAGGTGGGGTTGAGAGCCTCATGCTGAAAGGCGGGGTAGGGGTCAACACCGCTTCCCAGGATCTCTGTTCCTTGGAGTACGGGGTCTGACCCAATAGCCTAAACTGCCTCTTGTTCCTTGACCTGCAAAGCCAAAAGGCCCAGGGAGAGTTTGTAGATGGGTTGTGGGGTCATCTAGCTGTATGCCACCTGCAGCTGGGCTCTTCCTGAGAAGAATGAGTCCAGGAGGGCTGCCTGACACTAGCAGTGTGGCACTGTCACAGGGCATGAGGAGACATACACTCAGGACTTAATGCCAGACAGGCCTTGCTCTGAGCCAGCACAAGTGTTTTTTGCCTGGCCATAGGGTTATATCCGATCTGCTTGACAGCCTGGGTCTCTGCCATGCCAGAGATGTCCCTGGGATCCTGGGTGTACCAGTGGCAGGATACTTCTGATGCTCCCTACTCCTGCAGGAACAATTGTGATGGTGGAAGCCGGTGCTTGCTGCTCAGTTTAACATCTCCCTGCTTGGCTTTCCTGCCTTGGCACCTCAGGAGGAGTCTCTGGTTATCTTGTCTGTTGCAAAACCCTCTGTGTGTGCTTAAGTCCTTCTAATGAAAGCTGGGCAGGGCAGAAGGATTAAAGACCTGGAGGTATCTTTTCTGTGGTGTACAGGGTTTCCCAGCTAACTGCCAAGCACTGTCTTCTACTGCATCATTAAAGATTAAAGCACTAAACTTCTGCAGTGAAAACACAGGCTTAACTAGCTGTGACGCAGGTCAAGCCCACAGGCTGCAAGCCTTTCCTGGCTTCTGCTAGCACTGTCAGCTGCTGCTGAACCTCTGTGTGCGAGTTCGCTGCCGTTTCAGACTGTCTGAGGCTAGGGGCTCTGCTCCAACCTGGCGCAAAACACTGCTTTGGGGATCTGAAGTAGAGAGCTCTGCTTGGGAAGAGCCAAAGATGGGCTCTGCCTAAGCAAGAGCAACATGTGAGCCTGCAACACTATCCCCTTTGCAAAGTCCCAGCAGCTTCACAGCTGTTTGGTCTCCATGGCAGAAAGCAGCTAAAGTTCTTTAACTTCTGCGTGGAAGGGAGTTTTATGAGGCGATGATCTTTTGCCAGGCCTCTCCCTGGAGTCAGCACTGGGCTGAAACCAGGCCCAGAGCCCTTTGAAGGTGCTGCGCGAGGCGCCCAGGCACACACAAACCTAGGCAACACAGGTGCATTGGAACGGCGCTAATTCAGGCCAGCTTTCCCCATCCTCTGCCACACTGCAGATCTGTGCTTTTTCAGCTCAGCTGAGGTTCTCTGTTACGGCTGCCTGCTCCTGGCGAGCCTGGAAAGGTGATGGCTGCAGTGAGCTTGCAGCCTCTCCAGGCAGGTGAGAGAGGTGCCTGGGTGGGTGTCTGGTGTGGCTGAAGTTTCCCAGAAGAGACCCACTCCGGGTTCCCATTTATGTTCTAAGCAGCTAATGGCAAGGAGAATTGGGAGGCTAAAGCAAAGGGATGAGCCGTGCATGGAGGAGAAAGCAACAGCAAGGTTTCCTCGCTGTGGATGCCTTTGCTTTTGAAAAACAAATTCTTGCTGTGTATGGAGTACTGCGCTGCCCCACAAACGCTCCCAGCAGAAAGGAGGCTACAATGCAGTTTTCAGTGCCAGGCTCATCTTGCGATTAGCACTGAGACCCTGCTGCGCTTGCAAGGAGCAGAGCTAGGGGTGCAGCAGGGAGGGAGCTAAACTCTCCGTAATCCTGGGCTGCTGAGGTGGTGATAGCATTAAGAGCCAATGTATGCTCCCAGCTGCCCGCAGTGCGCATAAGCCAGGATATTTCTCTAACAATCCCTGGAGCCTTCCTAACGGTTTGTGCGCGCTTGCTTCTCTGCAGAAGCAGATGAAATTCCTGGAGCAGCAGCAGGAGGATAACAGAAGTTCAAAGGAGGAGGTCCGCCATCTGCGGAACAAGCTGAAAGCCATGGAGCGGTGAGATCCCGGGCTCTCCCTGCGCCTTGCGGGCTGTTCCATGCCTCTCCCACCCTCAGAGCGGGAAGGAGGGGTCCTGCTGTGCCTGCTGCAACATCCACCCTCACGTTTGGGTCATCTTGCCCCCCTAAGGTTGGAAAGCGCTGTGTTAGCGAGCCTGCCCTCGCCTGTCCGTGCTCTTGCCCCTACTACGTTTCCAGATGGTGGAACCATCTCCCTAACCAGCAGCAAGGCATGGCACTGTGTGCTGACCGGCCTCATCTCTGGCGCTCCGAGCACGGCTGTGTGCCGTTCCTGTTATCGGAGGACGCTGGGGCAGCATCCCAGCCCAGGAGTGCAGTCAACAATAGGGCCCAAGAGCTGACACGTCGGCCCCACGTGCAGCATGCGTGTGCAGCTGCCCCTTTCTCTAGTCTGTCCACATAGTGCTACTCCTCCCTAGCAAAAAGCCCTGCTTGTGGTGGGGCAGTTGTGTTTCTTCCCCTGTGACATCCAGAGTGACTGCAGCAAGAGTTTAGGCTGCACCAGCTCCTTGGGGGGGAAGCAGGGCTCCAGTCTCCTTCCCAGCTCTGTGTGTGACTCGGGTGCTGAGGGTACTTTTTTTTTTGTGCAGGATTGAGATGTTGCTTCAAAGCCAGCGTCCCGAAGTGGAGGAGATGATCAGAGATATGGGAGTTGGGCAAGCAGCGGTGGAACAGCTGGCGATCTACTGTGTCTCGCTGAAAAAGTAGGTGCTGTGGACTTGGCACAGCCGGCTTGTGCTGTCCTTGGTGTGCCCAGGGAGAATTCTTTGCTGAGTGCCAGCAGGCACACGGGCTCTGCAGGGCTCTCGCTGCCTGTTTGGGCCTCCACTGAGTTTTCACTGACAGATCCAGGGGACCTAGATTGGAGCCTGTCACACTGAACTGTTCCTGTTGTCACTGTAGTGACATGCATGTCACCATGGGAACCGTCTCCAGAGTTGTCAGTGCACCTATGAGGTGATGATTATTATTCCCTCCGTTCTCTTCTTGTGCCTGGGGGGAAATGAGTGGATGAGGGGCTCCGGGTTGTACCCTCTGCTGCACTGCACTGTGCAGCTGTGGCCTCAAGCTCTCTCTGGCAAGACAAATCTGCAGAGCTGCCCTCCCCTACCTGGAAATCCATCTGGTCCTGCTGGGAAAAACCACAGCTTTTTTTGGGTCTGTTCTGATGGCATCTGAATAATTGCAGCTTTGATACAAAGCTGTAATGAGGCAAGTATCCCTGTGGTGTAATTGGGATGAATGTGCATGGCCAATAGTGTGAAGTCTCTGAAAAGTCACTTAAAGCAAAGTCCCCCTATTTGCTGCCAGCATGGAGGCTGCTCTGTTGTCTGTCTGTCTTTTCCACTGGCAACTGAAATGCCTCTGGATCAGGTTTCCATTTTGCTGGTGAAATCAGTGCAGGCCCTGTTCTCAGGCATGATATCCCATGCAGCTTTTTTCTCCCCTGTGGTGTAATGGTATGTTTGACAAACTATTGGTCAGTATTTGGTACATTCCCTAAAGGGCTTTGTGTCTCATGTTTTTTTTTTTCTGGTGGCTCTGCAGTTGCAGAGCTTCAAATTAAGGGTCTTGGCTTGTCTCTGAGAAGTTTTAGCTCAGTCCTCTTGCAAACAGCATGACTCTTCTGGGCTCTTTGCAGAGAATATGAAAACTTGAAGGAGTCTCGGAAGACCTCTAGTGAGATGACAGAGAAGCTGAAGAAGGAGCTGTTTTCTGTCAATGGCAAGGTAAAGGGACAGTGTGAGTTGCCAGGGTGACAACTGGTCTGTAGATCCCTGTCAATAACTGTGGCCCAAGCCCTCTGCAGTGACCCACTCCCACACCGCGTGCTATTTGAGCGGTACAGGTGGTGTGGAAGTGTCAGGCTGGGGCTTCTGGGTCAGGGTGTGATGCTGTGGTGAGCGAGCTGCTCCTGGGCTGTTGTCAGGAGTGCAGTCTCTGGGGAGACTGGTTGGGGCAGCATGCGTGGAGCCAGCCAGAGTTTGGCAGGGAGCCTGGACTGAAAGGCGGCAACATGTAGGTGCTCTGCTGCTTCCGCTGGGTTCTGGAAGCAGCACTGCCTTCATCTTGCCACACTGCTGAGCGTGAGCTTGCTCATCTGCCAGCCCCTCCCGCTGCAGAATCGGGCCCCTAGGAAAGGTGGGCAGGGGTTTGGAGTTAGCCTCAGTTGAGCAAGGCTTAGCCCTGGCTTGGTACGACCGCAGTTGCACCCAGCCTTGTGCCTTCAGCCAACTAAACCGGGCCAGGACTCTCGCGTGATGCTGTGCCCAGGCAGGAGAGGTTCCCAAAGTGCAGCGAGGATGTGCAGGTGGCTCTGCGCAGCGCCTGCCGGGGCTGGTCCCGTCCTGGCACAGAGCTTGGAGCTGCTGATGTGCCCCTTGCTGTGTTCCCCCTGCTCCAGCCTTGGCTGGGGTCTGTTAGCTCAGGTCGGGAATTGTGTTCTGTCAGTTCTGGCAGCGTGTCCCCATAAAAAGTGCGTGCATGTAGCCTTGCTCTCCAAGGCGCACGTGCTCCCCGGGGCATCCCCATGTCCGAGCTCACAAAGTGAGAGACAGAGAGGTGGATTTGGCCTACTTCTGTTACTCAGCCAGAGTTGTTTTGGTCCCCTCAAATTGGGCAGGAGGTTCGTTCTCAAATTGCTGTGCTGATCCCCAGGGGAGTTAACCCCCTCCATGCGGTGCTGCTGCTAGAATCGGGCCGCTTCTGGCTGAGTCAGTGCCAAGCTGCAATCACTGGCATGGGTCAGGAGGATGCGAGTCAGTGAACTCAGGGCTCTGGGCTTGGCTGACAGAGAGCTGACTGTACCGACGCTTTGTGGGCTGGCCCAGACTCCTGAACCCACAAAAGTCTCTGATGTGGTAGCAGTCCACTTCTTGACCCCTGCTCCTGGCATGCTTCCCTGTTGAATCAGGCTTGTCCGTGTGCCAGTACTGCTGATGCACAGCCATCCTACAGCTTGTGGTTTGTAATTCCTGTGCTCTGGTGTGTCCAAAGTCCTACAGGAATTCAGAATGCAGCCACCAAGTGTTAGAGCAGGGAACCATCATGCATAAATGCTGAGGAAATGCTATAGGAAGGTTTGTGTTGGGCAGGCAGCCCTGGAGATCCCTCTGCAGGCAGCTTGAGGAAATAGACAGGTGTTCAGTTGCTCTGTTACAGGAGAGATTGGTCAGACTGCCACAGGAAAATTGAGCCCTTAAACAGAGGAAGTAGCATGTGCTGCAGAGCATGCTGCTGTCACAGGGGTTCTGCAGTCTTGCTTACCTGTGTGTTGTAACCAGCACTCTGCTGTTTGGGGGGGGGGTTATTCTGCAGCTGCAGAAAAGTGTTTCAGAGTTGGAGATGACAAAGGAAGAGTTAAAAAGCACCCAGAAGGATCTGAAGAATGCGGACAAGGAGATCTTGGTAAGAATATCTTTCCTCAGTCTGCAGTAACTGGCAGCTGGCCATGGCCTGCAGCTACAAAGCCAGGAGTTATGCTGGTTTTTCCTCAGTGACTAGGTTACCCAGCCCACCTTAACTCTCTTATTTGCCCTACCTCTGAGCTCCACCTGATGCTCATTTATGGAAAAGGGGCAAAGCAACTGCTACTAAATCTTTCCTTATCTCGCTGTCTGCTTTCCCTTTTCCCTCCAGAGTTTGAAGAAGAAGATAGACATCCTGCAGGATACTCTGAAAGTCCCATCTGTAACCAGGGATACACTCAGTCGACTAGTCTTTGAAAGGTTAGTGAAGCGCATCCTCAGAAACAGGCCACGGGTGGAGATAGGTCCAAAGTAAGAGCTGGCAGTTTAACTATCTGGGGAGGCAGAGACATGTTAGTCTGGCAGGCATCGCGGTAGCATGGTTGTTCTGCTCCTTCCAACCTATTTTGGTTTTTTTTCTTGTTGCTGACAAGGTGGTGTTTGGCTTACTTGGAGAAAGTGTGTGTGTTCTGGAGGGTTTGAGTCAGGATGGGATGGAAGAACAGGCTAGGTTTTGACAAACTCTTTGTCACTATGTCCTGCCAGGGAAATATCCCTATAATGCTCTTCTGGTTGCCTCAGAGTTGGCTTTCCAGTGAGCACGCCCGGAGATCTTAGCCAGGCAGAGGAACCTAACCTGAAAAATGGTATCTTTTACATTTTAATCAAGCCCTTTCTTGCAAGGAACCTGTGCTACTGCCCCACTACAGCAAGCTGAGTTGTATACATAGAGCAGCAGCATGCCAGTGTGTTTCCCTGGGCTCTGGGTGCTGCTGTTACAGCACAGGCCATTCAAGGGTGAACAGTAGTTTGGGACATTAACTATAAACTCTGGGATTCAGACTGTTCCTTCTGTGACCTGTAAGCAGAATGGGGCTCTGATCCTGGTCCCATGGCTGTCTTGCAACTCAGTCACGTAGCATGCAGCTCTGTCTTCCTCTCGTCTGCTGGGTGGCAGGCGGTGGCCTCCTGATAGCTGACGCTCTGCGTGGCCTTGCAGCCCCACTCCCGTGGAACTGCGGCAACCGAAGCTCCGCTGCCCGGCCAACAGCGACGAGATCGATCTAGATGCTACTTTTGATGTGGACACCCCTGAACATCAGCCCTGCAGATCTCATTCCAGCCCTGTAAAGAAGCAGAAGCTGAATAAAAAGCCGTGAGTTTTCCCTCCTCTTTCTGCTTCTAAAGGAGATCAAAGTCTCAATTCTTTGGAAGTTGCTGTGTGAGATCAGATAGCTCTCCAGCTGCCTGATGTCGTGCTGCAAGTTTTGTCGTCATTGGCTTGGCCTTGTCTGTCCTTGCCAGCTGCACTTGAACAATAAATCTCTGCTGATTTGCTCCCTGGGCTTCTTACAGGCCTCCCATGGTAGATCTGGCAAAGAAAGTTCTGAAGGAAACAGTGGAGGTAAAAGGACTAATCTTGATTTCTGTATCCCCGCTTTGATTCTGCTGTTAATAAGCTTGGGATAAAGGACCCATTTGCTCCATGTAGGAAACGCTGTGACTGTAGACTAGCCCATCTACAGAACCACAGTATATGCTTCAAAGTGCTTTGCTTGACAGTCTCCTAGAAACACTGTACTGCTGCCTCAGGCCACTTGGAACTGAGCAGGAGAGGGAGGGTGGGGACCGACGTGCTTCTTGCTGATTATCCTGCCTCAGATACGCTTGGCAAATGCAACGTGGGGCTGAGCAGGAGGGCCGTGGGCTCAGCGAAGGGGGCTGTTCTCCCAGCCTCGCTGGGTGCAATGTCCTGCCTCCCAGATGCTCTTCCACATGAGCCCTGGTGGGAGGTTTGAAACTACTGATCTTTAGCCCGACATGTGGTACAGCAGTAACTATTACCTTAATTAGCTGTCTGCATTATTAGTGCTCCCTGTTTGTGGACTAAGTTCAGCAGATCATGCTGGTTAAAGGGCTTTTCTTGTTATTTTGTGGGACAGAACTGGCCAGATGATCTGGAGGATGATGCTTTTAAAGGACTCTTGCCAGCATTCATGAGGAACTCTATTCTCTCCAAGAAGCCATCTTCGGGTAGCTTGCTGGGTCCCCACAAGAACATAGGCACTGTAAGTACGACTGTCCAGTTGGTGAGCATGTCAAGGGCTGGCACTTCACACCTCTGTCCTGAAGTGACCCTACAGGACGAAGCGAAAGAGGCTTTTACCTTGCCACATACTGCTTGTGGAAAATAAATCTTGGAGCATGACCTGGCTACTTCCCAGTCCTGCAGAGCTTCAGGGATGGCAGATGCTCATTCCCTTTCTGGCAGCAGACTCAATGGCCCTCCATGTCCTGTTCCTCCACCATACCAAAAGGGGTATTTTCCCTGTATTTCTCAGTCCCAGTGACAAAATCCAAAGCCTTGCTGCTGCTTGGAAGGCTCAGCTTGCTTCAGAAAGTGCCCAAGATACTCAAACTTTGCTAAGACCCTTGGGTCTGTGCTTTTCTAAAGGTGAGGGCTTAGCACAAGCGCTGAGTATTTCCGGGTGCTTGTTACCCTTCCCCAGAACCTGTGGCCTGCAAGGCTTCCCCTTCCCCATAACCAACACAAGGAGAGGTGGCCAAGGCTCTGTGCTGCTGCTCCAGGCTCATTTCTTTCTCTCTCCTAGGTGAGAATGGGGTATGATGGTTTGGGCGGCAGAACAAAGTTCATAGAGCCTGTATCCTTTCCTGCGGCTTGCGTGACAGTAGTGATGCTGTGGGGACCTGATCTCCGTTCCTCCTCTTTGGTCTCAGCCATCTTGGAGTCCTGTCCCTCAGTCAGCCAGAAATGGGCTGGGATCCTGAAGGAGCCATCAGATTTCTCTCTATCTGACTCTATCTAACAAGTCTGAGCTCAGCAGAGGCATCAAGGATCTGAACTTGCAGACAGCATTATCGGAGGTAGCTCATTCAGAGGAGCATATCAACTAGAAATCGGTACAATTTGCAGGGGCTGCCTATACTCTTGGGATCTCTGAACAGCAGCGTAGCTCAGGCTCTTCCTGGCCTCATGCCTGCCAGCCCGTGCAGCCGAAGCCTTCGTTCCTGCGGGATGCTGCTGCTCTGCCGTGCCTGTCCCGGTGGGCAGCCCTGCCGCGGGTGAGGGGCGGCTGGGCTGAGCTCAGCGTGGGGGGAGCTGCTCTGACTCCCACTCCTCAACCCAGGAGCAGCGTCCTCTCCGCTGCCCCTCACCTGCCTTCCCCCGGCAGTACCGTCAGAGGGGTGTGCGGTGCGCCCATGGCTCTGATGCTGCTCTAGCCCCTGCTGGTGGTTTTGAAGGGGTTTTGCTCTTTGTAGAAAACCAGGAGGCTGAAGCAGAGAAGTGGTCAGCCAGAAGGTGTGACCTGCTGGCAAGCCTTCGGCAGCTGCTCCTGTGGTTTCACTGTGGAGGTACCCAAAGGCAGGGAGATGCTTGAGCCTGATCTCTGGGGCCAGATGTGCCCACGCTGCCAGCCTGAGATGACTGGAGGAGGTGGGCAGCTGTCCCTCACACGTGGCTGAAGGAGGAGCAGCTCACTTCTCCAAGCCTGAGTGCTGCAGGTGTGCTAGCTTGTGTAACCCCACAGTTCTGCTAGCATGGGCCGCACCTGCCTTTCAGTGCTGCAGGCTTAGTTTTGTCACTTCTGAGTCCCTGAATGGCATGAGAGTTGAAAGGGACTTGCTGCTCCTTATGAGGGATCTTGGGGTCTTTCTGCCCTGGGAGGCTGCAGGCTCTGGCTGCTGTGCTTTTCCCTGCATGGTGTCCCAGCTCTGGCATGGAGGGTAGATATCAAAGCTTTGTTGGATATGCTTAAATGCTCTTTTGTGTGCAAGAACTGCTTGCATAGAAGGGGGAAGCATTTCTTGATGCGTGGGACAGGGCTATTCCTGAGCTCTGTGGGTCGGGAGCAAAGCCCAGCCTGTTCTGCAGGGAGTTGTTCTTTGTGTGCAAATGTATGGCTAGGTCTGTGGTTCAGGCTAGTCTGCAGCAGGTATTGGATCACTTGTGTCCCCAGGGCCTTGATCTCTACTTTCCTTGACAGCTTTACCTCCAGACAAACCTGGCAGAAATCCGTCCATTAGCAGTGAGGAGGAAGAAGAACGCCTCCAGGCCAGCACCTATAGCTCCCTCTGCCTCTTCCTCCAGCAGCAGCCAGGCCAGGCTGGACAGTTTCTTGCAGTGAGAGCCCCTGCCTTCCCGGGGGCAGATACAGGACAGAGCACACTTGTCCAGAGCCTGACTCAAAGCAACGTGCAACTGCTGCTGTGCGGGGTGCTACGACCTGCCCCAGGGAGAATCCTGGCCTTACAGCAAGCTGACAGGAGACGAAGCCTTTGGCTAATGCTTGGACTGATCTACCCTCCTCACCTTACACTTCCTTCCTATTTTCTTGTAGAATAAACAGTTTGTTCATCTTCTGGCCTGCTCGGAACTCTACAGTTGCTGCAGCTGTTGGGCTCTGACATCGGGTGGAACTGTGCTTCTTGGATGTAGCTGCAAGCTAGAGGTGTGGGAAGGGTGTCTGGGATGTTGGGCTGGAGCGAGAGCAGGGAGGAGGGACCTGGGCCAGCTCTATGCCTGGTGTAAATACCTCTAAGAAAGTTTCCTGGAGGAAGAGGCGTGCAGAGGGCAGAGCAGCGCTGGCCTGCGTTGCTGCAGGGTGGCCGTGTATTCATCATCAAATGAAACACCTTCCCTCCGCCGCAGGCCTGTGGTGGTTGGGGAGACCCGTGGGCCAGCCTGGGGGATGTTCCACCTTCCCCTGGTTTGGGCCGTGAAGTTCACTGCATTTGTGCAGGCTTGGCTTTGAAATTGCTGACCTGGGGAGCAGGGTGTTGGGGGTGACCCCCCTGCCCTGCTGGGAATGGGGAGAACAGTGTGCTGATGTGACCTGTTCGTGGCACATGCTGCTCTGTAACTCACTTGATAATTTCTATTTTTTTTTTTTAATGAAACTGTAGGGATTTTCTTCTTTTGTAACTGATCTGCCTAGTGATTTCTGAGGGTTTGGAATGGCCTGAAGAAGTGCTGGAGAACGACACCCTTCAGGGGAAGGGGAGACTGATGGAGCTGAACCTGTCTGGGGTTCCTCAGCTTGGAGCCATGGGACAGGAGATCCCCTCTTGCCCCACGGCTGAAGCAGGGCTGTTCAAGCTGCAAGGAGCAGATGTGGTGAGGTACCTCCCTACAGGTCTCTACTGTAAAAATCTGTCACATTTCCTACTTCCAGCTGCTTCAGGTTGGAAGCCTCAGTGCCTGGACTGGCTAAAAAGATGTCTTCAGGGAATAAAATATATTGCTGCGCACCCTTGTTAACAACTGGCCTCTGAGCATTTTCCTCCTTATTGCAGCTCAGGGTGGAGGGCTGAGCTCAGGTGCTAAGTGTGGGGTGATGGACGGGCCTGAGCCTTCTGAAACCTTTGATGCCAGCTCTCAGGAGATGGACCCCTGCTCCAGGGAAGGCTGTGGTTGGGGGGAAGCTGTGATGAAAGTGGTGCCAATCTCCAGGGCAGCGAGCAAGGCAGAGGCCCGCTGAACATGAGCTGTGTCTTGCCTGCATCACTTGGGGCTGACTGCTGAATGATGTGGAATGGGTGGAGAGTCTGGAGGAGCTTGAGAAGAGAGTTCAGAGGGTGGGGAGGAAGGGAGGGGGACTTAAGCAGCATTACCTCTGGAAAAGAGAAGCCTGGGAAAGGCTCTGCAGGGAGCCTTCTACTGACCCTCTTGCACGGTGCAGTCGCCTCTTCAAGGTAGGTACCTCTGTTTTAAAAAAAAAAAAAACAAAACAAAGGTGACAGACTTGCTCTAGATCTCTGGCCTGAAGCATGTCTGGGGAGATTCTTCTAAGGAGGTGGCAGGAGTGTGTGGCTGGTGAGGGATGCGGGCTTCCAGATTGGGGTGCTGGAGAGCTGGTGCTGTGTCAGTGCCTGTCCCAGCCTGCAGCTGAGGGACAGAAGGCCTCTGGGGACTGTCCTCAAGCCAGCCCTGTGCCCTGCTCAGCTACGGCCCCAGGGCCACCCTGCGGGCAGGCCTGGGGGTCCATCCTGTCCCCGGAGCTCAGCCCCACGGGCTGTGGAGCCCGGTGTCCTCTCCAGCAGGGACAGCAGCGCCTGCCTGAGCTGGCACCTCTCTCGGACCTGCTGGGTCTGTTACCCCCACCCCATTACTTTAATCTGATTTCTATTTGAAAATAAACGCATCCTGGGCAATAAAGTCCTGCTCTGACTGGGGTGAGCAAAAGACCTTCAGCTGGGTGGTGGTTGGTGTTGGCGCTGTGTGTTGGGCACCATCTTCATCCACCTCTCCCACTCTCCTAAGCTGCCAGGGCCTGGGCTGCTTTCCTGGCTTTTGGCACCAGGGCAAGTTTTAAACCAGGGCTTGAGTGCCTTGGCTGCTCCAACCTCTGCTGAGTCTAAGGTGGATGTTTTGAATCTCCTGTGTTTGGGGGGAAAAAGAAAAACAAAACAAACTAACAACCAAAAAAGCCCAACAACCTTTTTTTTTTTTTTTTTTTTCTTGTCAGCCCCTTTCATCCCTCCCTGCTCTCTCCAATTTTCCAGGCACTTGCCTGCTTTTTAAAGTTCATTCTACCATGCATTTGTTCTGCTGTATTGCTCTCAGGCCTGGCCCCTGCCCCAACTGGAGCTTTTTTGCTCTTGCTGGGTGATGATTTCAGCTCCTCAAAAGCACCTTCCTCCTTTTGTTCCCCACCTTACCCTCCTCAGCCTGGCCCGGAGCAGGACACCACCGAGCCCCTGCTGCTGGAGGGGTAGATGGATGGGGGCAGAGGATCCCAGGGGCTCTTTGCAGCCAGTTTCTGTATTTCTGTGGAATCGGAGATGAGACCGGACCCAGTTTCACATTTATTTTAGGATTTCGCATAGCGGGTGTGCGTTGACTCACAGCCCAGAAAAAGAAGCTGATGGTAGGGCTGGGGCTGGTGTCAGCTACCGGGAGCAGCATCACACCCCACGGGACTGTCAGGGGTACGGGGGGGGGTGAGTGGGAAGGGGGGGTTTCCCTCCTCTGCTCCCCCTGGGGAGCCACAGCAGGAGAGGGAGCGCAAGGCCACGGGGCGGGCAGGGGGTGCTTAGCCCCACGGCGTGGCCTTGGGGCAGCAGCCCATTCTCTCCCCCCCGCTTCTATGGGCAGGAGGATCCGTGCGGCCGCCCCGGCCTCTCGTGGGAGCCGCGCTCTTGTTAATTATCACCTTCTCTCATTAACTACGGGCCAGAGCTGGGTGAGGCATAATTGCACTGTCCCGGTGTGTGGTGGGAGCCCAGGGCTGGGCATGTGCGTTCTCTGACCTCATCAGGCAGCCTGTGATGTCATGCCAAGAGGGCATGACTGTTGGCCGAGCACTGTGGGGCCTAAGGGTGGAGGGTGCTGGTTGTCTGGCTCCCTGGGACCTCCCCGGGGAAGCTGGGTGCTCATTGACTGAGCCAGAATCATAGGGAGAGCCTGTGAGCCAATTGGTTGGGCCCTGTGACCTCATGGAAGAACGGTGAAGGTCACTGGCTGAGCACTGTGTGTCTTTGTGGGTGCCGGGGTGCCTGTTGGCTGAGGGCTCCCGTCACCTCATCAGGGAGCCCTTGACCTCACACTGGAGCCAGTGTGTTTACCCACTAGGCTCTGTGTGACCTCACTGGGGAGCCTGTGACCTCACAGGGAGCTGCATGCTCATTGCTTGGCCACGTGTGACCTCCTGGGACAATCCATGACCTCATGAGGTAGCAGGGTGCTCATTGGCCAGTAGAGTGTGACACCTCTGGGCTGCCTGTGACCTTACAGGGATCAGAACAGTGACTGACTGGAAGGATGTGACATCATAAGGCAGCCCATGACCTCAGAAAAGCATGGGACACTCATTGGCTCTCAGGATGTGATGTCACGGGGCAGCCCATGACCTCATGGGGGAGGAGGGTGCTCATTGGCTGTCAGACTGTGGCCTCCCCAGGGGGTGGAGAGCCTATTGCCTGGCCAGGTGTGACATCCTGGAGCAGCACATGACTTCAGCGGGGAGGGGAAGGCTCGTTGGTTGGTCTTGTGTGATGTCCTGCAGCGGTGTGTGACCTCATGGGCGAGCGGGTGCCCATTGGCTATCGGGGTGTAACCTCATGTGGGAGTGAGCGTTCATTGGCCGTCGGGGCGTGACCTCACGGGAGACTGGATGTTCATTGGCTGTCAGGATGTGAGCGCGAGGGGCGCCGCCTGGCGGGCGCGGGAGCTGCGGCGCGCCGATTGGCCGCTGGGCCGGGCCGGGTGGGGCGGGGCGCGCGCCCGCCACCGCCTCGCGCCGCCATTGGCTGCCCCGGCGCACGCCCGCGGGGCGGGGGGCACGTGCCGCCGGGGGAGGAGGGAGGGGGTGGAGGAGGGAGGGAAGGGAGGGGCGGGGCGGCGGGTGGCGATTGGCCGGGCGGCGCGCGTGCCCGCGGCGCGAGCGGGCGGGCGGGCGGCGCATGCGCGCGGGGCGGCGGGGCCAGGCGGCGATGGCGGCGCGGGGCTGATGGCGGCGGAGGCGGCGCTGCGCTGAGGGAGCGGTCCCGCCCGGCCCGCCATGGGCAACGAGGCCAGCCTGGAGGGCGGCGGCGGCGACGACGGGCAGCTGCCGCCCGCCGCCGCCGCCGCCGGGGCCCAGCCGCCGCCGCCCGCCGCCAAGCCGCCTTCAGCACCGGGCGGCGGCGGACAGCTCCCGGGCAGCGCGCCCGGGCCCAGGTCAGAGCGCGGGGGGCGGCGGGGGCGCGGGTGGGCTGTGGGGTTGTGGGTGGGCGTGGGTGCTGGCAGGTGCGGGGGTGTGGGGCAGCGCCGGGCGCCGGTGCGTTGGGCGAGGGGGTTCGGGGCACGAGTGCGGAGGGCGTGGGGGGTGCAGGTTGGGGCGCAAGTCTGTGGGGGGTGCGTGCAGGGAAACCCGGGTGGGGTAAGGGAGGGGGGTGCGAGGGGCGCAAACCGGTGGCAGACGGGGGTGCAGCCGTGTGGGGGGCAGACGTGTGGGGAGAAGGCAGGGAGGGAGGTGGCGTGGGGCTTAGGGAGAAGGCAGAGGCACCCAAAGCAGGTCCCTGCTGAAGGGTGCAGCCCCGGGGGGAGCTGGCAGCTCGCGGACACCCGTGGGTGCTGGGGGGAGGCAAGGGTGTGGTTTGGGGCTGGGTGCGGGAGAGGGACGGTGTGCCCTCGGCGAGAGGGCAGCGTTTTGGAGGGCAGGAGAAAGGTGGGTGCTGCCCGGTGGGCAGAGGTCCAGCAGCGAGGGCCGAGGTGGCTTAGGAGGAGGGAGGGATGCGGTTTGGGGTTGGGGAGCCTGGGCTGGGGGGTCCGGTCAGCGTGGGTGGACGGTGCCTGACGGCACACGGCTAAAAACCCCGGGGCGTGCGAGCGCCCCGAACACGGCCACCCCAAGCGGAACCGGCACCAAATGGGAAAGGTCGTTATGTAACAGGAGGGACGTGCAGGAGCCATCGGTGCAAAACCTCATGGGGAACCGTGCCGAGCCGCTCCCCCCCAGGCAGGCAGCACCGGCTGGGAGGGAGATGCCTCGGAAGCAGGTGTGGGATTGGAGATACTCCTTTAAAAAAAAAAAAAAAGTCAATCCAAAAATATCATTCTATCTGGAAAAATAAATGCGAGGAGCAGAAAGTTGCATGGAGGGGTGTGGGGGACTCGGCGAGCAGGTTGCCTACGGCGCCTGGCCGAGGCGGCGGTGTTTCGGGCTCTCTGCCTTGCCTGAGCAGCAACGAGCTGTGCTGGTGTTGCCGGTCGCGTTACTTCAAACAGGGAAAATGCAAGCGGGAGCCCGAACGGGAGGCTGCGGGCTCGCCTGGCGCTCCTTCCCGCTCGCTCCCAGCCGGCGGGCTGCGATCGCTGCTTGCAGGCTGCACCCTAACATCCAGACGGGATTCAGGGATCCCACAGGGTGGCTGAGCTGTGGGCAGGCTTCTCTTTGTAAAACCTCTGTTAGATTTTACACAGGGAGCATGAAAAAATACCCCTGAGTGAAATCGTGCCTGTTTTCCTTTACATTTTTTCCAGTTCCCCTTCCTAAAGAATCACCAACCCCTCTACATCGAACTCTGCCAGTGAGAAGTTGTTCATAGGCTGCTCGTAACAATTTAAAATTAAATACCTGCAGGGCTATTTAGGCTGGTGTAACCAGATCAGCCGAGGGAGCTGTGCAGATCTGCCGTCTCTGTCCGATTTGGGCGCTGCCGCGGGGCTCCCCAATTACTCCCCGGGGTCTGCGTTTGCTGTTGTAGCAGGGTTGGGGGTTCCAGGGGCTTTGGGGGTCCTGGAGCACACGGAACTGGTGGGGTGGAGGAGCACAGTCC